AATATACAGTAAATAAATCAATACATCCACTGCTTTGTTGTCTCCTCTGAGGCTGGGACTCTAAATAGTGTTCTGTGCTCGTCTGTGCAGCCAAAGACATAACAGTTAGCATGTTTCCAGCAGCAGTTTTAACATTAAGTGACATGACATCTGACGCACAGATGCCATTGGCACATGCCGCTATGCTCAGTGACACTTCCGGTGGCACTTCCGGTTTTCAGTGGCATGTGTCAGTGGACAGTGGCATGTGTCACTAAAACCTGTGACACATGTCAATGGACTGCGTCTTGTGTCAGTTGCCGCGGTGCGTGTCGCTGCATAATGTAGATTGCGTGACACACGCACTTAACGGCAGAACGATATTGAATTAATTTAACAGTATGTTGCTGTCAAACATATGATTTATTACGTCGCGGAGTTCATTTGTACAACAAATATTGAGTCCCTATATTAAGATTAAAATGTGTCTTATGCCCCTTAATGAGTATTTTTCATTGTAAGTTTATTTCCAGTAGCCAGTTCCAGTTTTGTGCAATGCATTCAAATGCGTAAATAAGCATTTTTTTCATTTTTGCATAGATTTGACAGTTCAGCTGTATCATTTGTCATTTTAATATAGAGACTATGCAGAGGCCATAACAAAACAAAAATTCACAACGCAATGTAAATGTAAGACTGTAATGTAATGTAAGTCTATATTAAACAAAGTTTGTATTTATTAACGTGTCTGCGGAAAGTCAAATGCTTTGACAAAACATTCAGGCATCTCCAGAAGAAATGCATGCTCATACTATATATACTGTATATATATATATAGTGCTTCTTGTTACACAGTTACAATTATAAACAGAATTCAATTTAATTTATATATAATTATTATATTACTATATAAAATATTAAAGCTAGATGATAATCTGGCGCTGGCCAATGTTAAATTTATACTGACACCTACCGACCTGCACGCAGCATCATACAAAAATAAAGGATTATAGTAAGGGATGCAAGTGTTAATGCGGTATTCGTAGTGACCCATGATCATTTTTTTCCCGTGTGTATCCTAGAATGGTGATCACCCACATACAACAGCACTGGTCGGCTATTGCACAACATTCAGTGTCATCTGCCACTCAAATACAGATGTGCTACACACTGACGTCATGTTTGAAAAACATATAATAAACTTGTAAATACGTTTAATGGACATTTATTTAAAAATCACTAAATTCAGCTTTTTATTTAGGATTTTTGTGTTACAATTACAGCTGCTCAACTCATCTGCCAGTCACAACTGGAGGCAACATACTGCGACATGATCGTGACACAAGTCCATCGGCACATGTCACAAGTTTTACTGACACATACCACTTG